CACATTCTTTCCATTCAATCTGATTAGGTCCTGAAGAGAAAGCAAAAACCATAGGGACAACACATGCATACCGCAATCATACWACAGRGAGATAGGCAAACATGGGTAGTAGTGGGTTATACAGATGAAGTGGTTTACCTGATGGTTCCCTGYCTCCAGAACTCCTCCTGAGTTCCGGCAGAGCTCCCGCAATCGGTGGGTGGACTCCCCACAGAGTCTTGACGCGGACCTACGGGTTGCAATCCCGCCTGCCGCCTTCGTCTCGTAACCAGGACTAGACTGAGAGTTAGAAAGAATAGAAATAGAAAGTAGAGACTCTCAGATCCAAGAATGGTGCTCTCAGTCTCGCAAGAGAGGGCCTCGTAATCTTGGATCGCCTGAGGACCTCGCAATGGCGGCCAGAAGTATGCAGTCAGCCCGGTTAATCCCTGTTGGGTTCTCCACATTGGCTCCCAGGTGGTCCTCCCACCCACAACCAGGTCCTTCTATCCAAAACTCCGCATTTCCTTCGAGTTCGTCACTCCAAACGCATTAACTGTGGACAAGCTTGTACTCACAAGGCTCCCTTTTGCCACTCTGCACCGCAAGATGGTCAACGCACCGGCCGGTAGCAAAGCCTACTCCTCTCGGCCAACCTGTAGCTGCGCCGCTTAGTGCTATAGGCAGAGCGTCAACCTGCGGGCAAGCCTCCAATCCCACGGCTCGCTCCTCGTTACTTCGCTGCAACAGGCTGGTCAACTTTTCTGTCGGCCGGCAAACCTCCAGTCTCCACGACTGGTCTTCTTGTTGCTCCGGCTGATGGGACAAGCAACATATTAACCAATGGGTAAGCCCGCACTTTGCAGCTTGTCTCACGTCTGTCCGCCCTCGCAGTGCACTTGGTCAGCGAGCGATCTCTTTGCTCCCCAACCTTACCCGTTCCGAGTCCTCGGCAACAAACCGCCGGGCCAAGCACCTTCGCCGATAAATTACTCTCCCTCAGCCAAACGAGCCAGACCGGATGGTTCTTCCAACAATGCCTGAAAGGGTGTACCGCCTCCCTGTTGCAAACCACCAATTCCGGTTAAGTGCGTTTCCCCGACTAGCCCGTCATCTACCCCTCACCGATGAGCAAGGGTGAGACTCACTGTCGATTTCATCATGGGTAAGTACATCGCCTGTCATCCACAACCTTCAGCTCCAGCTCGGTCAGGCATGCTTTCTTCTCTATGACGCAAAGGAGGCACATCACACTAAACCAACCCACCCGTCGAACGTGGAATCATCGCGCGACCAGACCTGTTGGACGGCAGGCAGAATACACAACTTGAACACAACCTGGAATGCCAGCTTGCTAACCCAACTATAAACAGGATTAGGCACCTCCCCACGTCTTCATCGTCCTCAACGTATCTGGCTAGACTGTCTGGCCAGGCTCATTCAAAGTTCCAAAAATCACAGATTCCACAAGAAAACCTGCGTAGCTCAACTCTTTCTCTTCTTCATTGCCTCGAAGTCTTCTTCTCTCTCTTTCATACCACTCGGCTGGCTTCACTTTACCTCCCTCGATCGAACAGTCCAAATCAGAATGAATCTACTCCCCAAACACGGGTAAATTCACTCCGTATTTATGCACGGCCAACGTATCCCCCGGGCACAACATCTACCTGTAAAAACTCAAAAGCTAGCTACTGCAACAAGAAACTAACATCACAGCGCATTTCGCCCCATAAAAAAAAAACGTCAAGATCGAGCTTTCCCCCGTTTGAATCGAGTCAGAAACGAGGGGGATAGTCATTTCTTTATTCTCCCCCGCTCTCGTCCTGTCGTTACTCCGCGTACCCCCTTATCTTTCTAACTCTCATTCTACTAACCCTCTCACTAATCTGACGTCACAGTCAGATTCGCCCGACGCTCAAACCCCCAGATAACTCCTTCATTCGTCGAAAACGGTCGGGGAACGACCGGTTAAACTAACCTTCACTCCCTTCATCTCTCCCTCCCGCCATGGCTCATCGCACTTCCCTTCTGTTCTCCTGCTCAACCTACCAATCCATCGCAAAATCCAACCCCACCGGCTGACTCGCCATATCACAAAACCCCCTACTACGTTTTCCTCCGGCACGATTCTATTGAGAATCGTGCACGCTATTCATCCCCGACTGCGCCCCCGGCTGTCCCCCCACCATCTCCGAATGCACCCTGGCGCGAAATGCGACCAGGTCCATTTCGCTGTTTTCCTCCAACTTACCTGTCGGCCTCGCCTCCCCGTATGCATGTATCTGGCGCGGATTCGCGCCGGGTTCATCCCCCCTTTCTTTTTCCTCCCCTCCACTGCCCGTCATACCCGCCTGTTGCTAACCTGCCCCGCTGCCTTTGTGTCCATCTTCAGCGCCCGTCCGACAACTGTTGCACCGCGCTCCGACCGTCGGCCCTCGTGTGTAGCTCCGCCATAGTTCGTTCTGTTTCGGCATGCACCCGGCACGCTTTCGCGTCCGGGTTCACCTACTTCACTCGTCTTCTTCCCCTACTGCCTTCGTATATCCTCTCTCTCTTCCCTTCTTCCTCTAGCTCTGCGCCCCCTACTTTGTCTCTCCACCTCTTCATCCCTCTCATCCTCCCAACTTCATTCCTTCTCCGCTTACCTCCTCTAATCTCCCTCCTTCACTTTTGCCTCTGCCGCCTTCAAGCCCCGTCTCCTTCTGCTACTAACGCAGTGTCCAGCAGATAGCGGCCCGACAGCGCCAAGGGCAGTCCAATGTGCCCTGCCCCTCTGGCAATCACTACTAGTCGGTTCGATACGGGACCKCGTCCTTYCACCAMAATGCCCCCRCCCRATGCCCTGCTKCGCGCTAGCCCAGATACCTCAGCGAAAGCTGGCCGATTCAGACAGCAGGGCCGGTGGTTCTGGGATTCAAATTCGCTGAGGAATGTATAACAACTCACCTGCTGAATCCACCGGCCCGATAGATAGCGCTCGAACGCTGCTGCAGTTGGGAGGACACGGGCCCGCTGCAAAGCCCGTAATGCGGGTAGAAGGTGGTGTGTGGTGCAGGTCCTCGAGCGGATCTTGGTGATAGTAGCAAATATTCAAATGAGAACCTCGAAGGCCGTAGCGGGGAAGGGTCCCATGGGAACAGCCGGGGGACAGCGCCGCCCAGCCAGCGCTGTAGCGGCCTCCCACTAGCGTCCCCTGTCCATTGTCTCAAGACACAGTTCACCATCCTCCGGGTCCCAACGAGCGTGCTGACACTCAAACCTCTTCTCAGCGGGCGGCGGGTTGGCGGACGGTGCACGTGCAACAGGTTCCCGCCATCTGGGTTCGAACACGGCCCTGTATCTCAACAGTTCATGGGCGTACCCACTGAGCTTGGCCCTTAGGCCCTGGGCGTAACCACGGCCCCGCGTCCCAAGGCAAAACGGGGCGCGGCCCCGACACAGCCACAAAAACAGTTTGTAATTGCACTTCGGGCACCCCTACAGATACAACACATCCCCACACGCTGCTACTGCAGTCTCGCGTCTTCGGGATACGACAAACAAAACAGATAAGGGAAAGAGGATAAAATAGCAGCAAGGTCGGGGAACAGCGGGGCTGCTAGCGCCTCGCCAGCCCCCGCGGACCGGGCCCGCCACCGCGCCCGCAAACAAAACCGAGGGGGATAGCCCTGGCGGCCCTCGACCCCATCGATTCCTTCCACGACGCTCCGCTGGCCTCGATCCCCGAACCCCAGTGTTGCCAACCCAATATCGTAACCTATAGGGCTAAGCCCAAGCCTGAGACCAATGTCCGCGGAGTGCCATATAAGGCGGCGCGACACTGCGCTCAAGGCCAGGGAGATTGGCCTGAGCCTCATCTCTGCCTACAACCGTGCGTGAGACCGCCCAGCGTTTGCGCCGACTTACCCAGCTGTACTATGGCCGCCACTCGCCCCACTCCGTGTGCTAAGACCTACCGGAATCACACTGTCGCCTTCGTCGCCGTCGCCCACGCACGTGCGCTCGCCTCGGTCAAAGTACCAATCGGAAGAAGATATCCCTAGTTCCTACTTAATCAAAAATAAATAAATATTAATAATATCATTAACCAAACGACCGATGTCCACGCCGACTTTATGATCAAAAACAAAACAGAATCACGCGCGCCTTAAACCTGCACGCCCCTGCACTCTTTACTCTAGTCAACCAACCAGTCAACGTGAAAATTACAGACGCGGCCGCGCCTAGCGCGGTATACTTAAACTTTAAACCAAAACTATTTTCTGTCGTTTGCAAAAACCAGGGCGGATACCCTTGTAAGGGTATTCGCACTGACAGCTTACCGGACCATATTAAGCGACGTCCCCGTCGCTTCGCCAAATCAGAAAGCTATAAATCCTATCTACACTCCAAATGCTGACGAAACAGGAGTCAATCCGATTAGCCGATAAACACAGGGTAGAGGCCTCCATCAAACCATGCCTCCACAACTATATGCTGCCAGGTTTCTAACCCGGGCCTCTTACTGCCCAGAAATTAGGACGCTGACAGCATAAGCTTCAAAGACCTTCCCAATCGTCCTCTCCCCGGTCCTAGACAACCCTTGGCTTCTCGTTGGGTGTCCCTAGTCCTGACAAAAACTAGGGATGCGGGCCTTAATCGAGACCTTTGAAGACACTCTCGCCTCCTTTCAAAAAAATCTATCGCAATCAAGTACACATAAGTATATATGTATACTTAATATCCGCTCAACTATTTTCTGCAGTCTAGTACAGAAAGGCTAGGTCTCCACCTTGGCCCACCATAGCCTGGCTGATCGGACTAGGACCACGACCCACCGCATTGTTATTTAACAGCAGTACCTTCGTTGGTTACGAAACGATAGGTTTTCTCCTGATAAGCATCCAATCAGGATTTCCCCCAAAAATTCTCAACCATCACTATCCCGCGGAGTAATTTCACTGGGGCGGGCACCCCCCCTTAAACTCTTACCCACGCGGTCCCGCAGCCAGGTTGCGCCGACTAGCAGCCATCCAATGGGGTTATGCCCTAGATGTACTAACTTCTTTTCCGTTAGCTTGGCCTTTCTTCAATATGTCTCAGAATTAGCACCAGTGGTTAGACGGGGGCGTCGCAAAACAATCACTGGCCCACTGCGCGATACGCAAGGGTCCGAAGACATTTACCAGCCCTCCCTCAATAGGCATGGTTAGGGCCTTCTGTCCTTCTCGAGACGGTCTCGCCTCCCTGGGCTCAGGGTCCCTCTGCCTCTGACTCCTCTGACGCCTCTCGACTCTGGGCTGAGGGGGCTCTGATCGTCGAAAGGCCTCTCTCAGATGTGCCCTGCAGCTCTCCCTGTCTCGGACCATGTCTCTGACCTGCTTAGCCAGTGCCCTCTCCGCCTTTCTGGTCCAGAGGGGTAACGTCCTCGCCCACTCATCTCTCGGTATACCCTGCCCCTGCATGAACCACTCGAAGGCAGGGATAACATTTCCGATCTCTAGACGGATCGGCCTGCCATCTGGTCCCACAGACGAGGGTCGCAACTCCTCCATCCTCGTCTCCACCTCCTGCCTCGTCGTCGCCTCCCTATGAATCCTGGCAATGGGCTCCTCGAACCTGCCTGCTCCCCTCAGTCTCTCGATTGCCTGGGCCACGGTCCAGCCCATACGCCTCGCATGCTCCCAGAAACTATCCAGGAATAGCTCGATGTCCCCATCATTGTAGACCGGAGTACTCTCTCGATGGCGAGGCCCATGCCGCTCATATCCTCCTGATGCTCCCAACGGCCTCCGAGGCGGTCGTGTCCCCTTCCCTCCTCTTCGCATGGCTGTCTTCGTAAAGTCAGACCTGCACAACAGGCGAAAGAGACAACAGGCACACACTGGGGTAAACAAACAGGTGATAATCAAAGCAAGCCCAGACCAGACCACACTCATACAGCATGCATCCTACCTAACCTACACACCCTATTATTTCTATTATAAAGGCAGTCAGATCATCTCTCTTACCTCTTCTCTCGCCACAAATTTCTTCACTCGCGTTCTAGATACCCAATCCTTCCACTCAGTCTCATTTAGCTCTTCAATCTGGTATGCTCCGAAGTCTCCAACTCGTACGATCCGGTAGGGACCTAACCACCGATTATCGAGTTTCCTGGATCACTGCTTCTCCAGCGATGAATCGTAGAGAAGCACGACATCCCCAATTGCCAAGGGTACTTTCCTCACTCGCGCAGACTGATCCCATCGAGCCTTATCGTCCATACGGCTTCTTGCCACCTGATCAGACGCCTCCTGGATCCTTTCTTCTATCRCCCCTATCTGCCGCGCCCGAATATCGAGCAGTTCTTCGAATGACAGGCTAACTTCCAGATCCTGGCGCCTCCATGTCTTAAGAAAACTCTCGATAGGGAAGGTGGCGTGCCTTCCATACCACAGCGTCGCCGGTGTGTACTTGGTGGATCTTTTTACTGTAATGTTCTCGACAAAGAACGCCGCCCTTAGGTATCTTGGCCATTGATTAGGCCTACCTTCGGTCCACTTAGCCAGGAGACTCGTAATGGTATTATGTCCTCTCTCTACAGGAGCATTTGCCTGGGGGTGCGCGGCCGTGGTGTAGTTGGCTGCTACACCATACCTTGATAACAACTCTTGCACCTCCTGGCAGGTAAACTCCGATCCTCTGTCCATTACGAATTCCCTGACGAAAGGATAGCGCAGGTAATACTCCTCGATGCAGCTCACCAAGACTGACCCGGTCTTTCTGCGAATAGCACGCCCGTCTACAAAGTTGGACAGGTTATCGTGCGCATCGAAGATATAGTTATAGCCCTGATCCCCAAGCGGCATAAAGAGAAGATCGAGATGCACTACAACCCTCACCTCTCGCTCTAGCCTTGGATGCAGCGGCTCTCCTTGCCTCAAACGAGATCTCTCCAAACAGGGTACGCATGATCGACAAAATTTTCCGACCATGTCCATCATCCCATCCCAGTAGTACAACTCACTTATCTTGGCATACGTGGCTTGTACCCCTCGATGCCCTCCTGCAATACCATCGTGAAGCGCTGCTACGACGTCGATCTAACGATTCCTACCGCAAACAACTCTCCTGGGATTCCCCACTTCTCTTCTCACGAAAAGGTGGCCGTCTCGCACTAAGTAGCGCTGCAGCATCCTCTGAGCCCTATCGCTTGCATCCCTTAGCCGCATTTCACATGACAGAAGAAGCCCCAACTCTAGGTAGATCCCGTCGTACTCCTCTGCACGAAAAGTCTCCTTAATCTCCCCCTCCTCGAACTCGCCGTCCTGGCTCTCGGGCACTTCGTCCACATTCCTTGTCGGGTTCAACGAGCCTGACTGGTCGAGGCTTTCTTGCAATAACGTGTTGACGAGGAGATACATTCCTCCCATCAGGTCCTCATGCCGTTCTACCTGGCGAGGTCCTTCCTCAATCGTCCTCATGTCCTCCACCAGACTATGCGAACTGGCCAGCGCTAGCTCCATCATCCACTGAACATCCTTACTACCCCAAGGATCCTCTTCTTCAAAGGGTTTGAGGACTAACTCAGTCCTCCGTTCGTACCCACTTGGCGCTTGCCAGATAGGATAGCCTACACAGCTGGGCACTCGCGGCGATCACTTATTGATGTGGAGACGAACATCTTCTTCCTGATCCAGAAATCCATCAACTGAGGGCGTATTCTCCACCGCCTCCCCTTCCTGTTTATCCCAGTTGATCCGACTCAGCCCGTCCGCCCGGTTCTTACTACCAGGAATCCGTTCCAATTCGAAATTGAACATTCAGATGTACGTCAGCCATTTGGCAACCGCCGGATCCGATGGAACGTAATTCCTTAGAGAGTAGGCCAGGGCGGTCGGATCCACTCTCAAAATAAACCTCTTGCCGAAGATGTAGTTCTGGAAGATTCGCAGACAATGGAGGACGACAAGGGTCTCCCTCTTGAACTGAGAGTAGTTCCTCTCGGTCGTACAGAGAGTCCGTGTAGCGGACCCACAAGGTGTGGTGCTCCGCTAGTGACAGAGATGGAGATGGAGGAAGAAGGGGGAACAAGATGGCACAACGCAGCTCCCCACGCAAGACTCCAACGCACGTACTCCAAAATGTGCAAGTGAGGAATGAGACTGAAAACAGACAATGGCTGGGGTATACCCCAGCGGACTGACGGGACTGGACTGGACTGGCTGGTACCGACAGAGGTACCGGCCTGGACTGGCCGACCCCGAATATAACACAGGCCTGT